TACACTGTTGGGCTCCGTGAGCTGTTTCCGGAGACTAGCGTCTCAGCCGCTTTCATCTCTTGTCTTCCTGAGGCCTTGACAGAGGACGCAGCTAATAGAAATGGTACATTTTACAGATGCAAGAGGTTGAATTAAGTTTGCATTAGATGAAAGATTTTTATGAGGTGAACGAGAGTGCGTTGTTTGCTTCATGTTCCATTCATAAAAATGTGGTAGATGGTCATAGCTAGAATTCTGTCTCCAAAATCCAACCTTGGCATCTTTTTTTTTTTTTTAGAGGTTTTTGCTATAGGGTGCATACACTCGCCAGACAGAGACAGACAGAGAGACAGAAAGTGAGAAATCACCCCCAGGGGGGATGGCCATGCCACAGTCCCTTCTCCTCCGTTCTCCTCTCGGGATCTTGGGCATGCACGCACACGCGCCTGGCGTGAGTTTAAGCCACCAGGTCCGGGACGCGAACCGCGGTCGACTATGTGAGAGTCCAGTGACATAGCCATTACGCTAACTGCTGGTCCCTACCTTGGCATCTTTTGAAGTATTGTGTACCCTAGAAATTGCATCCCCACACCTCAAGTAGTTTACGTTGAAATATTCAAAGTAAAGGACAGACTTTTTTCCCTCTTCCTTTCTCTTGATTTTCTATACCTTTCATGCTTGTTAACTTTTATATAGTTGGGGTGTAACTTACAACCCTTGTGTTTCCACCCAAGACCATTATAATTTATTTTTATTTCAGAATCAGTTAAATTCTTCCTTTTTTCCCTTTTTTGCATTTGCTTTTTCCTTATATTTTGGTAAAGGAAAGAAAGGGTTACTCAGCTTTTCTAGGGCTCCTCTTCTTTGCTGCTTTTTCCAGTTACGCTGTCCTTCCTGTACACACTCCCCCCTGCTGCTTCACTGCGGAGCGTGTCTTCTCCACGTCCTGCCTTTGCGCCATCCGGCAGGCCTTTTCTGCAGCGTCCTGACGACCCTGCTGTGCGTCGGGTATACCAAGGCAAACACGCCCGGTTGTTCTCCTAAAGCTGATGTGCCTGGAGGCCAGCTGTTGAATCCTAGCTGCTAAGATCGCTGCCTTCCCCCAGTTCTGGCTGTAGATACCTTCTTTGCCTATATCTCTGTACCTGCATTTCTTACATGCCAGCATTTGTGCTTCATTGTTAAAAGTTTCAGACTTCCGGCCACTGTAAGTCCCTCTCATGCCTGTCCACTGATGTGGCTCTGCTTGCCTTTTACCTGCAAGTCTAGGTGATCGTACTCCGAAGAGAGTGTGTGGCTTCTGACTGTTAGGTACCAGCACCTCCATCCATTTCCTCTAAGGTCTCTGCCAGATAAAAGTATACAAATGATTTCCTAATAATGTGGATGCTTTGCTTGTTTTTTGGTTTTATTTCCAACTCAAAAATGAAGGCTCTTCGTGAGATGCAAGCCCTTGGGTTGTTACACTTTCAAGTTCAGCTGACTCAATGAAAATTGTGCAAACCTTTCCTTCTTACAGCATTTTAAGTCTTCCACATCAAGCATCTCCAGTGTCCCGCACCCCAAGCCTTCCTGCTGTAGATACAAGCTACATCAACACCTCCCTCATCCAAGACTACAGGCACCCTTTCCACATGACACCCATGCCTTATGACTTACAAGGTGAGTTGCGGGTTCTTCTGTTGTCACATAGCGTTAGTATTCCTTCAGTCTCTGTGGTCCTCTTCTGGGAGAGTCTAAGGGAGAGTTGAAGATTGGGAGGTCAGAGCTTTGGACCCAGGGGATTAAGATGGTAGTGTGCTGTGCCCGTAAATGCCAGCCCAGCGTTTTACAGCCAGTGGAGACACTAGTGCAGTGGTCCTCGGGCTTCGCGAGCTTCAGAGTACTCGGCAGGTCGTTTTTAGATGACATCCAGCCAGAACTTGAAATTCAGGTGCTCACGAATATTATTTTCCTCCCTGATTCTAGTTGTAATGCAGCTGGCGTTATGGGTTATCGTATCATCTTCAGATAATGCTGAATTGAGACTCTTGAAAGTTTTGCTTTGTTTTTGTTTTGCCTAGTGAGGGTGGGGGCAGGGAGAAAACTCCCCCTCTGGGGATGACCACATTGCAGTCCCTTCTCCACTTTCCCCTCACCCTCACAATTCTGGGCACAAATGCACACATAACCAGCATGTTTTTCAAGCTGCCAGGTCTCGAACTCAAACCATGCAGTTGGCCTTGTGGGATCCAGCCACTTTAACCACCACAACACTGGCTGGCCCACAACTACTCTTAACAGTTTGTTAAGTATCTTTCCTTATCTCTCTCTCTCTCTCTTTTTAAATTTTGCCAGTGGGTCCACGCTCTCATCAGAACGAGATAGAGAAAGAGAACCCCCCATGGGGAATGGTCATGCTACAATCCTATCTCCATTTCTCCCTATTCCAGATTTGTGGTACACACGCACATGCACCCAGTGTGTTTTTCAAGCCACCAGATACAGGACTAGAACCACATAGTTGACCATGTGTAGGGATCTAGCCACTTGAACCACATGCCATGGGCTGGCCCCCATATTTCTTTTGGGCACTTATGAAACATGCTATCATTGTTAAGGAACCACAGTTGACATGTTTTGTAGGCCTGTTCCAGGGCAGATAATGGGTGCATCCCAACATATTCATCTGCTTGTTGCACTTTCCCCGAGTTTAGATGTCCCGATGAGGCATTGTGTACCTGTTGGTGGCACTGTAAGTTGGGCAGTGTGGGCCAACACTGAGTTGGAAGGGACCTGCCTGCAGGGCTGGGCCAGCAGTGACAGCCACCACCCCAGTTCTCAGTACCCCTCAGGGTTCTTCCCTCTTCGTGCACTGCAGGGTCTCTGAGGTCAAGTCTGGTGCGGAGGGTGGCAAGTGTACACGTTTGCGAGAGAAAATCCGCACTGCAGCTTGCTCTAACCTCTTCGAACCTCCAACTTTCTCATCTGCCCAATAAGGCCAGAAGTAATGACATCTCTCGTGAGGTGTTGTGAGGAGTAAGTTAGAGTAGACTGAAGTGTTATTTAAAGAGTCAGTAAGAGCATTCAGGAGAAATGCTAGGCCTGTTTAGGGAACCGGTTTTAGTTCTAATGGGGCAACTGTGGGCCAAGTCTCTCCAGCTGAGTCCTGGGGAGGGCAGATCGTTGCTAAAACTTGGACTTCAGTCTTCCTCAGAGATGGGAGAAAGAAAACTTTCAGTTCAACTCTTCATGTTTAAATAAAATTCCAGATAACATTGTATTGAAGACTGGTATTTGTTTTTGAACCATTGGGGCATTCAAAAGGAGTTTGTTGTTGTTTCTGTTTTTGCTTTTATTATCAAAACTAAAATGCTTTTTTTTCTTCCATAGGATTAGATTTCTTTCCTTTCTTATCAGGAGACAATCAGGTATGTTACTTGAAAAAAATTATGATTGTTTTATTTGTACATGAAAAATATTTAAAATACATGTAGGCAAGAGAAAAAATAAATTTACATGGAAAATTTTGGTTGTTTTAATTGTACATGAAAAATATTTTAAAATATATGTAGGTAATGGGACTGGCAGGTGGTGTGGTGGTTAAGGGTGCTGGACCCTCACACGGGCAACCACAGTTTGAGTCCTGGACCAGCTTGCTTTCTCACTTTCTCTTTCTCTTTCTCTTTCTCTTTCTCTTTCTCTCTCCTTCTCTCTCTCTCTCTCCTTCTCTCTCTCTCTCTCCTTCTCTCTCTCCTTCACTCTCACTCATTCTGTCCCTTTCTGGCCAAATTAAAATAAAGTTCAATAAAAGAATTCTTTCATTCATTCATATATATATATATATATATAATGTATGTATATGTTTTTATATATGTATATGTATATATGTATATATATATATATATATATATACATATACATGTAGGTAAAATAAAAAATAAATTACATGGAAATTTCTTAGTGATCACACCCATCATTGTTATGGTTTAAGAACGTATGTAAAACTCCGTGGTCTCAGTGTGCCTAAGTACAATCATGCGTCACATAACGGCGTTGGGGTCAAAGTGGAGCGTGTACGTGACAGTGGTTGACAATGGTCCCACACAGTCATGACATGGAGCAGTGCCTGCTGCCCACTGTTGTAGTCGTAGTCCACGGGGAGGCAGCGTTTTACCCCACATTTGTGGTCCTGCTGCCCTCAGCAGACCTGCTGCCCTGCCTGTCCCGCCAAGCAGCACAGCACACACAGTAACCTGTAGCTGCTCATACTCTCTGATGGCAGTCAGTGGTGTCAGTGGCTTACGTATTTACTGTGTGGTACCTTTATCGTCACTTTACAGTGTGCCCTGTTTACGGACTGAAAGAAGCGTACTGTAAAACTGCATATGAAAGCCTCGTACTTTCGTCGCCCGCATCTCCTGATGGCATCACTCCCCCTGTGCTTGACTTACTCTCTTGTTTTGTTCGGTGTGGCCTCTGCATGTGCAAAATCCTCTTCTAATGTTACCATAGTAAGAGGCCACATTGAGTGAGGGATCTGAAAACAGGATGAAAAATAATTCAGAACTCTAAGATGAGAGTCAGGGAAGGTTATTGCTTGCCAGTCTGGCATGTCTCACTCTACCACAGCTATGATCTTGAAGAACAGGAACCAGGGCCAGTGGGTGGTATGGTGGTTAAGGCTCTGGATTCCCACATGGTTGACCACAGTTTGAGTCCCAGACCAGGTAGCTTGAAAATTGCACCAGGCACATGTGCATGTGTGCCCAAGATCTCAAGAGGAGAGCAGATTGTGGTGTGCCATCCCCCCCCGGCAGGTGATTTCTCACGTTCTGTCTCTCCGGCAAACACATGTGCCCTACAACAAAAATCTCTCTCAAAAAAAAGAACAAGAACCAAAGTGATGAAACTTTTAAAGAATCTGCATTTCAGAAGGCAGTGAGACAAACAGATTTAAGAAGGGCCAATATCCAATATGGAGAAAGTTCTAATGGCCTGGGTTGATTGCCAGACACCGAAGAATATTCCTCTTGGGACTGCAGAAGTCATGGCTGAAGCAAAGCCTTTGTTCGCAGTGTTGAAGGGGATGGCTGGCGTGGTGTCCAAGCAGAGGTGCTGCTGGGCAGTGGCCAAAGCCGCATGGGAGCCCCAAGTTCAGTTCCCAGCCCAGCCTATATAGGCTGGGTGCAGTGGTGCACGCCTGTGCTTTTAGCTTACTGGGAAGCTGGGGCTAGAGGAGCCAAAGATGGTAAGCCTTCGTCAAAAATGCCTCCCTCTTATCTTCTCCCACAAGCTCATGTGTGTGCATGCTCTCTCTGTACACACAAATGTATCATTTTTTAAAAAAGTTTTTGCCATATGGCATATATGCTCACTGGAGAGAGACAGAGACAATGAGAGGGAAAGTGAGACATCACCCCCAGGGCAGATAGTGATTTTCAAGCTGCCGGGTCTGGGACTGGAACTGCAGTTGGCCACATGGGAGTCTAACACCTTAACCACTATGCCACCAGCTGACTCCCCCCTTAAAAAAAAAAATATAATAAAGTGCTAGCCTCACAGTGCAGCTGTTAAACACCATGCAGAGGAAGTCAGAATCTCCATGTCCAGCTAGGACTTGAGTCCTAGTAGCCTCAGTTTAAAAAGCATGCCTGGGGGACCAGCAGATGGCATAATGGCTGTGTGGTTGGATTCCCACGTAGTTGCCGCAGTTCAAGTCCCAGACCCAATGGCTTAAATTCGTGCTGGGCATATGTGTGTGCATGCCCAAAATCCCGGGAGAAGAAGGGATTGCGGTGTGGCCATCCCCCCCCAGGGGGTGATTTCTTGCTTTCTGTCTCTCTCTCTTTCTGGCAAGTGCACGCACCCTGTAGCAAAACTCTTTAAAAAATCATAATTTAAAAAAAATAAAAAGCGTGCCCCATGAACACACATGCCTAGGACCCTAACAAGATGGAGAGTTGGAAGCTGGGAAGTCATGGTGTGCCCTGCCCTCTTCCTCAGACTCTCCCCTCTGCTCCCTCTGTGTGCGTGTCTCTTGGCATGCACATGCACATGCCCTCTGGCATTTAAAATAAAGGGGGGGCCGGGCTCAACTGTGATGAATTTACCGGGACTTGGGGAGGTTATATTTCTTGTATAATGTGAGTGTTGATGGGGAGACAGCTCAGTTTTTGGAAACTCTAGATAAGCTGATTATGGGGGAATCAGTAATTTACCACCGGAGTAAATCTTCAGTGTGGACAGAACCTTCCCCATTCTGGAGATGGATGCCTGGAAGGACTTTCATCCGTAAGAAGGCCACGTCAGTGCCAGGGCTCAAGGTTTTTAGGGACAGGATAATGATCTTGTTGGGCATACTGTTTGGGTTTCCAGTTGAAACCCTTTATGGTCTGGTGCAGTGAGAACCTCAGGGCCTTCCGTCATGCAGTAAACACACCCTGCCAGTGCACAGTGAAGCAGTGAGTAGCCCTGCAAGGCCCGGGGCACCCTTCTGACTTGCTGTGCCGACAGCAGGTAATGCTGGGAGAATCACCTGCCTTTCAAAGAGCTCATTGCTTCTAATGCTCCTGCACACTTTCCATTTATCAGACCTTCCCAAAGCCAAGGCGCTGTTTCTCCAGATCCCATCTCTTCTCCAACAGTAGATCAGAGAGTTACAGCGGCCCTTAAGGCCTGCTGCCTGAGTACATCTTGCCTATGCTATTGCTGCAACTAAGGGAGATTCTAAGAAGATGCTGGTGCATTCTGGAAGGATTATTACAACATCCATGACCACATCACCAACCCTGGGCTTGGGGTGATGTCACCAGGGTGCGTATAAATGGCTTCTGGAAGAAGACACTCAAGAAGCTCTTCCCTGACTTCAAAGGGTTTGCAAAGGATGAGTGAGTTGCAAAAATTGGCAAGGCTATGGTTGAGATGGCACAGAGCGGCAAGGCTATGGTTGAGATGGCACGGAGCGTTAGTCTGGGTGTGGACGAGGGTGACATTGAGGAGCTCCTGAGGACCTGTAATGACTAGTTGGAACTGGAACCGGAATGCATAACTGAAGAAGGAACTAGACAGAAAGACACTGCAGGAGAAGAAAAAGAAGAAACCCCAGGAAAATTCAGTGGAGGGTTTAGCCAACGCTTTTGCAGACATCAAAAAGAGCTCCTTAAAAAGTTTGAAAACATAGACCTAACACCAAAAAGGTCTTTATTAATAGAGAAGAATGTCCATGATGCATTATCTGCCTATAAGCAAATATATGATTAATTAGAAAAAGGGGAGAAACCAGCTTTGTAGCTGGTGGTTAAAGGAGTTGGATGTCATAAGGCCATGCAGTTCCAGCAGCTTGAAAAACACACTGGGCACATGTATGTGTGCACCTAAAAATCCTGACAGGATGAAGAACTGGAGGAGAAGGGATTATGGCATGGCCGTCCCCCATTGAAGGCACTTTCTCCCTCTCCCTTCCCCCTCCCTCTCGTTTCTCTGTCTCTGAGAAGCACATGCACCTTCTGGCGATTAAAAAGCCAACACAGGATTAAAAAGCCAATACCAGGAACAGTTTCCTCAAACAGCCTGAGGCAGGTCCTTCAGGAGATGTTTCAGGAGAAGGCAGTGTTGCCCGAGCACATTCGTGCCCTGAAGACCTTTCAGCGCCACAGCGTAGAGTGATGGTGGTATTGATGATCCCAACACATGTAGGCCTAGGTTCATGTGTGCGTTTGTGTCTTCTTGATTAACAAAATTTAAAGACTGTATTGGAGGGGGCTAGCGGGAGGCATGGTGGTTGAGGCGCTAGACTTCCATATGGCCAACCACCATTCGCGTCCTGAACCTAGTGGCTTGCTTTTTCTTGTTTTCCCTTTCTCTCTCTCTGTCTCTCTAGTCAAATTAAAAAATAATAGTAATAACACATGGAATTAAATAAATTATTATTTGAAATAAAAACTACCTTGGAAAAACAGTGTATAAAATAAGGATATAAAGAAAATGTTTTGGGACCAGCAGTTGGCGTAATGGCTATGTCACTGGACTCCCATGTAGTCGACCGCAGTTCAAGTCCCGGACCCGGTGGCTTAAACTCACGCCGGACACATGTATGTGCATGCCCAAGATCTCAAGAGGAGAATGGAGAAGGGATTGCGGTGTGGCCATCTCCCCTGGGGGGTGATTTCTTGTTTTCTGTCTCTCTGTCCTTCTCTGTCTTTCTGGTAAGCGCACATGCCCTATAGCAAAAACCTCTCCAAATAAATAAATAAATAAAAATTTTAAAATCTAAAATTTTTTAAAATAATAAAGAAAATGTTTTTATAGAATGTACAGTGTGTTTGTGTGTTTAGCTAAGTGTTATCACAAAGCAATCAAAACTTTTTTTAAGAGGTTTTTGCCTTAGGGCATGTACACTCACTAGAGAGACAGAGACAGTGAGAAAGTGAGAAATCATCCCCCACCCCCCAGGTTAGATGGCCACACTGCAGTCCCTTCCCCTCTGTTCTCCTCTCAGGAACTTGGGCATGCATGCACACATGCCTGGAGTGACTTTCAAGCCACCAGGTATGGGACTCCAGTGGCCTTGTGGAAGTCCAGCGATGGTGTAACCAATAATAACCAATACACCATCTGCTGACCCCGCTTTTTTAATACAGAGATTTTTACTATAGGGCACATTCATTTGCTGAAGAGACAGAGAAACAGGAAGCAAGAAATCACCTCCAAGGGGGCATAGTCACTCGGTAATCCCTTCTCTATTCTTCTCTCAGGATTTAGGGCATGCACACACACCTGGCTTAAATTAAGCTGCCAGGTCCAGGACTTGAACCGTGGTCAACTATGTGGGAGTCCAGTGACATAACCATTACACCAGCTGCTGGTGTCATCTTAAAACATTTTTTTAAAAACTAAAAAGGTTCAGCCAGCAGGCGCGAAGGTGAGTGTGACTGGATCCCACATCACTGACTCTGCTATTCAAGTCCCAGACCCAGCAGCTTGGAAGTCACTGGACACATGTGCTTAAAATCCCAGGAGGAGAATGGAGGAGCAGGGATTACAGCACGGCCACGCCTCCTGGGGGGCGCTTTCTTACTTCCCTCTTTTCGTCTCTTTCCCCGAGCACGTACGGCCTACAGCAAACATTAAAAAAAAAAAAAAAAGTTACAGCAGGCTGAGATTAACTTATTATTGAAGAAAGAAAACCATTTTTGTATAAATTTTGCATAGCCTAAGTATATAGTGTTATGGGACCAGCAAGTGATGTGGAGGTTAAGGCGGCTGGATCCCACATGGCTGACTGCATGGTTTAAGACTCGAACCCAGCAGCTTGAAAATCACACCTGATGGGTGAGCATGCATGCTCAAAATCCTGAGAAGGGAACAGCAGAGAAGGGATTGCAGCGGCACCTTTCTCCCGGGGAGTTATTTCTCTTTCTCTCCAGCAAGTGTACACGCCCTATGGCAGAAATAATTTTTAAACATGTATGTATATATGCAGTGTTGTGAAGTCTCCATAGTATACAGTAATGTCCTTGGCCTTCCCACTCACTCCCCGCTCACTCCCTGCCTCTCCCAGAGTAACTTCGAGTCCTGCAGCCTCCATCTGTGATAAGCGTTGTAAACAGGTGTGCCATTTTTATCTTTGCACCGTATGTTCACCGGACCTTTTCTGTGCCGAGATACACAATGCTTACCGTTGTGTACTGTCACCCGCAGTATCCGGAGCTGTGCCGTGCTGTACAGGTTTGCAGCCTGGGAACAGCGGGCTGTATGTCTCGGTCTGTGTGGCGCACTGGATGTTCACATGCCACTGTCACCTGGTGGTGCATTTCTCAGAAAGTGTCCCCTTCGTTATGCATCTGACAGTGTATAGCAAGAACAGTATTTATCAGTTTCTGACTGTTCTGTGAAAACCCGCGAGCAGTAGTCTTGTTGCTGATGGATTTCTTGGCCAAAGATTGCCTTAAGTGTGAGAGGCAGATCCAGTAGGTGGCATGGTAGTTAAGGCACTGGATGTCCACGTGGCTGACTCCAGTTCGAGTCTTGGACCCGGTGGCTTGAAAACCACACCAGGTGCATGTGCATTCATGCCCAAAATCCTGAGAGGAGAATGGCTGAGAAGGGATTGCAGTGTAGCCGTCCTCCTTGCAGTGATTTCTCACTTTCCCTCTCATTGTCTCGGCCTCCCTCTGGCGAGCACATGTGCCCTATGACAAAACCCTGAAGGAAAAAAAAAAAAAAAAGAAAATACAAAACAAATTACAGCAAGAGGGAGGACCATCTTCCCTGCTGCATCTGAGCGTGGCATCACTGGAAATAGAATGTTGTTTTATTCTGAATGACTAGAAGGCGCAGGTGCTGGGGGCAGGGGGAAGCACACACACCCCCCAGAAGGGCCTGGTCCCTGAATTTGAGCCTTAGCCAGTCGTGTGGGATCTGGCTCGCTCTGCATAGATAGCACCTAACCACTATGCTACAGGGCCAACTCCAGAGACCGAATTTTGATACTTGCTTGCAATATAAATTAAGACCTAAATAAACAAATATTTGAGGTTTTTTTGTTTTGTTTTGTTTTTTAAAGAGAGATTTTTGCTATAGGGTACATGTGCTCACCAGAGACAGAAAGCAAGAAATTCCTGCCAGTGGGCATGGCCATGCCTCATTCAGTTCTGCTCCATTCTCCTCTCAGGATTTTGGGCATGCGTGCACACGCACCTGCCGTGAGTTTTAAGCCACTGGGTCCAGGACTTAAACCGTGGTCGCCTATATGGGAAGCCAGTGACATTTCTTATTCCTATTTCAGATTGAAAAATATCTCTCAAAATCCTCAATCCAGACATTACATAGGCTTTCTGATTTTGCAAAATACCCTAATAGTTCATAAGTACCAGTTACTCAGGATTCCACTGAAGTGAGGAATTTGTCTTCTAGGAAGAGAATGTGTTCGTTTCTGTCGGTGACAGTCTCTCCTGTTTCCCTCCCAAGCATTACAACACTTCCCTGCTTGCTGCGGCGGCAGCCGCCAGGGCCGACGACCCGGAGCTCCTGCACAGTGTCCGACGACCAGGACCTCCTGCACTCGTCTCGGTTTTTCCCATACACCTCCTCCCAGATGTTCCTGGATCAGCTGAGTGCAGGGGGCAGCGCCGCCCTGCCCACCACCAACGGCAGCAGCAGCGGCAGCAGCAGCAGCCTCGTGTCGTCCAGCAGCCTGCGGGAGAGCCACAGCCACACGGCCGCAAACAGGAGCAGCACCGACACGGCCTCCATCTTCGGCATCATCCCAGACATTATCTCCCTGGACTGACCCCTCCTCCCGTCCCCGTCCAGCCCAGAGCACAGGGACTTGGCAGAAAGAGGACTCTGTGCTCTGTTTTACCTTCTTCTGTTCAGAAAAGTACACAAGCGTGTTGTTGTTTTTTTTCCTTTTTTTAGGGAAAAAATTAAAAGAAATGTACAGAGAACAAAACTATATTTTCAGTTTTACTTTTGTATATAAATCTAAGACTGCCTGTCTGATAAAACACTTGTTTAAAAAAAAAAAAAAAGAAAGAAAAGAAAAGAAAAAAAAAAAACAAAAATAAGCACCCACAAACCACCTTCGGTTCATTTTTTCTGGATTCTGAAGATTTTTCATCATTTGTCCTATGGTTTTGGTTTTATTTTATTTCAATGGCATTATTTTATTTGCAATAACAGAAAAGGAATTGCATGTATGAAGTTTTAAATTGTGGGCTTTTCTTTGTTGTGGGGTGAGGGTTGTGGGGGGTTAGTTTGATTTTCATTTTTCTAGAAGTGACAGACTTGGCTTCTGTTTCTGTGTGCGTGCATATTATATCCAGCCTTAAGTTATACATCTCATCTGTCCCACTGCGTTCCCTACGTGTTTGCAGGACATAGCTCGTGGGTGTGTGTGTTCAGTGTATGTGTCCGTGTGTGTTTTTCTACCAATCACTACTGTTCCGAACCTCTCCTCTTGAGTTCGCATTCAGTTATGTATCAGTTGCCTGCTTCTTTCCGAGTGCTTCGAAGGTCTTGAACTCACACGCGAGCATCTTTTTCAATCCTGACTGCATGTTCTCTGCCGTGTTCTCTCTTATTTGCTATATACCCCCTGAAAATATGTCTTCAGAGATGTCAGAGGAAAGCTGTCTGGGTAAGCAGTCGGTTTAGCAGACCTGTGAATAATACACTTTAGTCTAGTTCTTGATTCTAAATCTGGATTGCCAGTATTGTGTATTTAATCCAAGTCTGTGAATACCTGCTTTTTTTGGCCACAGGGTAACACGTTTTCATGTCAGATCTTCATACCAAAGTAGGAGATGAAAATAGCGTAGTGAGCCCTGTTGAGTGTCCTGTGCAGCTGACAAAGGCAAGGGCACATCACCTCCACCAAAAAAAAAAAAAAGGAAAAAAGCTATCCTACAAGTAAATCTGTTTGGGAAATACAGTGCACTGCACACGTCTGTCTGTAGAAGTCTACTTGCTATACAGTTGGAACTCTAATGGGTTCGGTCCTTAGTCATTTTTACTCTGGTCCTGAGTGTGCTTACTTCCTAACTACCTACCTTGTTTACTTTTTCCTTCACCTTCCAACGAGGAGCATGACATAGGGAAGATATTTTTTTTTTAGAATTCACAGATCAGTCGTATCTACTACTCTTATTAGTAATGGCACATGTAAATATATTGAAAACTCTTTCAGGAGATGAGTAAGAATCGAGGGAAGGAAAAGGGGTTCTACTGGTGTTCCAAAAGCTTTATCAAAGAAGTTATGTTCTCAGATGTGAAAAATATTTTTAGGTGATGTGAGTGCAGGTTTAAGAAAAGAAATAAAGGGCATAATATGATTCCCAGTTTTCCAGACTGGATTCTTGTTCATGTCACAACTGTTACTGTTGTCAGAGCTGATGAAGGACCAGCTTTGTGTATAAACTTGCTGTTTTAAATCTCGTGTTGGTAACAGAATGAGCTACTTTAACCCAGGTAGAATTCAAGATGGCTAGATCTTCAGTTGTATGATAAAAATTATGGTTCACATAACTGTGTACAGGCATCTAAAAATAATGTTTTTACAGCAGTCTCTCTGCCACTAAATTGTTGACTTGAATTTTGGAAAACAGAAGTTGGTATTGATATGTATACGTGTGTGTGTCTGTATTTATAAACAAGTGTGTGTGAGTAACACGTGAGCTTCACAGTCTTCCCCTGTGCGTGTGTATTCCACACATACATGGCTGAGTTATTATAGTCATTAAACGACTTGCGATTTTACAAAATCCAAAACAGATTGTCAGTTAAGACAGACAATAGTCCAGTTTGTGAGTGAGTCGGGTGTTACAGTGGTTAGACACTAAGGGCCCATTGCCTGTTATTTCAGGCGGATTTCTAACAATGCCACAATTTGTGTCTGAATTTGGCTTGGGATAGAAATTAGACTCATGGGCAGTTGTTTCTGGTTCTCTGGCTATATGTGACAGAGGGAGACGCGTTTCTATTAATTCGGCTACCTGAAGTAAAGCGGGCACTCCCTTTATTCCTGGTTCGTTTTTGCTCTTGTCGTCATCTCAAAGTTGTGGTCAGTAACTGTGTGTGATGCTGAATTACAAGCTCCGAGCAATCCAGTTGGAAACCTGTTCCCCTACTTTCTTGAGCTCACTTTTGCAGAGGATGAATTGCCCTCGGTGTCCTGCATTCCGCCAGCCCACGGGGAGAACAGGTAGTAGGACAAACAGCTGCGGGTCTGGCTGTGGTCACGCCGCCCCTGGAGAAAGTAACTGGCTGCTCGGCAGCCTTCTCGGCAGCCTTCTCGTTTGAGTCATTCCCTCGGAGGAGCGCGTTTCCCTCCATTGTCGGCTGTGCACGGTAGCCCGGTAAGCAGTCGCCGTCACGCTGCGGGCCTCCTGGGCGGGTCCGGCGGGCTCTGGTGATCTGAAATGGTTAGCAGGCTCGTGCACGCCGTCCGTAACTCCAGAGTTTGCAACTGCATAGTGTCGCTTCGTCTGTCCTTTCATTCACCCTCACTCCCCACCCATGCCGGCATTGTCGTGCCCGTCTGGGGACGAAACGCAGCTCTCAGAGTCTTCAGGCCGGTTGCCACCACCCCCTTGCCTTGGTCTTCCCTAACGGGTGTGCCTGCGTGTGTGTTTCTGTGCAGTGTGTGTGTGTGTCCGTGTGCACACATTTGATAAAATAGCTGTTTGGCTAGCAGGGTTGAAGTCGCTTTTAATTCCTTTGTGGGCATTATTGGACACATCTTTAAAGAAAAAAAAAAGAACCTTAACCATGTCATGCTTGGTTGACTAATTTATTTTGAGCATTAACATTTTTCTATTACTAATTTAGACATGTTCACAATTTTACGTCATTAGGAAAGACTGACTTAAGCTTCTGAAAGATGTGATTTCTTGGCAGAGTTTCCTCAGAGCCAAATGTCTGAAGTTGAGGGAAGATATATCCCAATTGTAAATTACTAAATGTGGGAAGAGCATTGTTTTCTAAACTTAAGACAAAACTTTCAAGAGCTTCAGGACTTTTTAAAGCACATTCGAGATTGTTTTCGTAAGGATGTTGTTTTATCGATCCATGCTGAATTCTGTTTTTTAATTCAACACAAAGCTTAGATTTCAGAAAGGGGGGAAGCATAGCAGGTGGTCTGAGTGTGCTGCTGCTGTCCAACAGGGGGAAATGTATATAAACAGATATATAAAAGTTACCATCAACTCCATGAACCTAAATCTGTGATTCATTGCCTTAAAACTTTCTCTCTTAGGATTTCCATACCGCATGCCAAACCAGTAAAATGGCTTTTAAAAATGTATAGTAGACCAATGTCAGTTTGTATAAAAGTACCAAGTGAAAATATTTATTACATGCATTGGAGAAAAATTGTTTACCTATTGAATGTTACCTGTTTATGTAGAGCTCTTTAGATGTAATAAAAGAAAAGCCTTCAGTTAATTTGTCTTCCGTAAAGTGATACTGCTGCATCACAGGAAGGGGAGGACAGTCCCCAGAGAAAAGCGATGGGATGGTGCGTGGTGCCTCCCACACCCTGGGGACTTCTCTTGCAGCATGCTTTGAGGGAAGTTGCCCGCTGGAAGCCACCCTGTCCCTCTCTTGCTGACTGAGAGCTTCGTGGCCTTCCCCATAAATAACACTAGGTGCTGGGGACACCAAGTGAATGTCAGGAATGAGCGGGGACCTGGACGGGGGGGGGGGGGGGTGTCCGTCAGAACAGTCTCCGTCCGAGACTCCAGCCCTGAACACTTAGCTGGGAACAGGGAGTCTGCGAAAGGGAGCCCTTGGTACAGATGACCGGTCCACTCCAGCCGTGTGTTTCTGGCAAGCTGTCCCTCGGGGTGCCCTTAAGCAAATGAGGTTCCTAAGACTTGCTTTAAGGTCATACTGGGACTTGGGACCAGGATGTGGCATGGAGGTGAAGGTGCTAGATCCCTCATGGCCAACTGCGCAGTTTGGTCCTAGACTGGCACTTGTGTGCCCGCCCAGAGAAGGGGTTGCGGCGTGGCCATCCTGCCACGGGGAGTGGCTTCCCTCTCTCTCTCTGTACCCTATGGCAAAAATCTTAGAAACATACTGGGGCCATGTAGTGCTAAGTACATAAAAATGCTTCGAGGGGGGCCAGCAGTTGGTGTGGTTAAGGGCGCTGGACTCCCACATGGCCAACTGCAGTTCGAGTCCTGGACCTGGTGACTTGCTTTCTCACTTTCCCTCTCTGTTTCTCATTCTGTCCTTCTCTGGTCAAAATTAAAGGGACCAGCAGTTAGCGTAATGGCTGTGTCGCTGGGCTTCCACGTAGGTGACCACGGTTCGAGTCCCAGACCCAGTGACTTAAACTCACTCAGGGCACGTGTGCATGTGTGCCCAAGATCCCGAGAGGAGAATGGAAGAGAAGGGACTGCGGCGAGGCCATCTCCCCTGGGGGGTGATTTCTCACTTTCTGTCTGTCTCTCTCTGGCGAGCGCACATGCCCTATAGCAAAAACCTCTCCAAAAAAATAAAAATAAAAAGTTAAAGTTAAATAATTATTTAAAACAAACAAACAAGCAAACACTTTGAGGGAAAGTGCCATCATTTCCCCTCTCTGCCCGGAACTTCTGTCCCGCCCAAGTCCTCGGTGTCTACCTGCTAACACTCTCCAGGTGGGCTGTGCGGGATTTGCCTCCAACGTCCGTGACTAGAGGTGAACAGATGTGGGTGCAGGGCCCCGGAGCCTTCCTGAGAGAGCGGCCATGTCTGGGGGAGCCGAGGGCTCGCTGCCCCTCAGTGTGCTTCACACCTAGGTGACCCCGGTTCCCCGAGCAGCCCCAATACCTCCGCATTCCTCTTGAGTGTCTTAGGGTCCCCAGATCGTGTCAGCCTCAGACCTTGCAAGAGACCTGGGCCCACCCCTGCTGTGTGGACCCCAGCTCCCCAGCCAGATGGTCACATTGCCACCTAGTGGGTGTTTGGCCACTGCCTGCCTCTCACCACCCGCACCCGAAAGTCCCTCTCCGTGGCTCCTGGGAGTGCCTGCTTAGCCCCTCCGTGGCTGCCACACCACTGGAAACTGAGCGCCTCCCTTCCCAAGACCTCCACTTGACCCGAGGCCACACGGCATCAGAGGCAGCTGTAGGACTGCGGCCTAGGTCCCCCGTGGCTTCCCCAGTGCCTGGCCACAGTAAGATTCGTGTCTTGTGTTAACCTCCCAAGAGATACAACCTTTCTTGATCCGGATGGCCTCTGGCACCACTAGTCAACGCCACGGCCCAGAAAGGCCAATCCGGGTACGTAGAAAGATAAGGACCTTCCCATTTAGACTTCTGCACTCCCCCCACCCTGCCCCCAACCCCATCCAACACCGCTGGTGACAGGTCCACAGACCCGATGGAGTGCTTGGGCACCCTGATGCAGGTGGCACCAGGCAGTGTCCAAGCCTGGAGACCAGGAAGGACCAGTATGCTTTCTGTGGTTTTCCAGGGCTCCTACCTCCTGGCCTTGTCTGGTTCTTTGGGGGTTTTTTGTTTTTGTTTTTTTTGTTTTTTGTTTTGATAGATTTGATTACAGGGCATGTGCACTCAGCAGAGAGAGAACGAGAAATTCCCCACGGGGTGATGGCCGCACCACAGTCCCTTCTCCCGAGAGTTTGGGTTTGCATGCACATGTGCCTGGCATGTTTTTCAGGCAGTAGGACTGGGACCGACCTGCGGAGTTGTCGTGTGCAGTCCAGTGCCTTAACACTGCGCCCCCGGCTGGCTTGGCCTACCTCCCCTCCTTAGCCTCCACTAGTGAGGAGGTACCTTAATGTCCTGAGGCGTCTGGGCTGCTTGAGCAGACTGTCCTGCTGCCCGGACTCTGCCTGGTGAGAGCCTGGGCTGAGCATTCTGGCGGGAGTGTCGGGAAGGGCCGTCCCAGCTCTGCAAGGCCTCGGGGTGCACCTGGTCACACCCTCCGGTCCCCTTTCGGGTGAGTCCCGTTGGTGTGGGCCTTGCTGTTGCTGCCTCATTTAAACACGAGCGAGTTTTCATGTTCTAGGAGGAGGAGTGGTAGGAGCCTGAACTATGTCCCCTAGGTGGAAACAAGAATTTGTCAGTGGACCTGTGCTGCTGCTGTAAGAAGTGTTACCATCAGGGCCAGCAGATGGCCTGATGGTTATATCGCTGGACTCCCATGTAGTCGACTGAGGTTCAAGTCCCAGACCCAGAGTCTTGAAACTCATGCTGGGCGCGTGTGTGCATGTGTGCCCAAAATCCCAAGAGAAGAATGGAAGAGAAGAGACTACAGTGTGGCCATTCCCCCCAGGGGGTAATATCTCACTTTCCCTCTCACTGTCTCTGATCCCCCCACCTCCCCAACCCCCATGAGCACATGTACCCTAAGGCAAAAGCCTCTTTAAAGACAGCGTTGACATCACTGTTTTCCCTCGCACTCCTGCTAGTTCTCAGCACCAGCTTACGCTCAGAGACGAGACGCGGAAGATGATCCCAGCACCCAGATATACAGAACGTAGTCTGTGTAGATGGCTCGTTTTAGAAGCACTTCCTCGTAGCTCAGGAGCCCACACGCTCACAGTGGGTGGTTGCCTCAAGTCCCGCTCTGGCAGCAGCAGGGCCCAGCTGTAGTGAGGCTTGCCCAAAGCCACACAGCTGGGAGGTGGCAGAGCCAGGACTAGAACCCAGAGCTGCCCAGACCATGGGCTCTTCACGATGAAAAGCCTGGAGCAATGGGAGTGACGAACAGCAATACCGACCTTTTATTAAAGACACGCTGAGACGGGCGGGGTCATTTATTACTGTGGCTGTGGCCTCTGCTACCGCCCGCAGTGCTGTCCCACTCCCTAGGGGAAAGGGACACTGCCATTACAGTCGCGGCGTCGGAGCGCACCCTCTTCAGTACTCCTGCACAGGGAGGGTGACCCTGTCGATGAAGTCATCGTACTGCACTCGGCCGTCCGCGTCGACCTGGGCCTCCCTGAAGAGGTCGTCCACTGCAAGGAATCAGTCACGTGTCAGATGGGCTTTTGTGTTAACTTACAGGACGCCTCCCGGGGGCCTGGGGCTCCCCAGAGGGCTTCCCTGCGTGGCCAACTGTTCCCACAGTCCAGAGAGTGAACGGGAGCACAGAAAGGGCCAACCTGGCTTTCTGCAGGGGCCGGCGAGGGGAGCGGGTGCCGGCGGGGATTCAGCCTGTAAAGCCACCTTGTGGCTTTCTCCTTTTTCTCCTTTGAAGAAGGTAACCCGTGCGCCTACCCGCAGAAGCCTCTGGCCCAATTCATCCTCCACGCTTACGTGTTCCAGGAGGACCCTACAGGTCTGGATGCCGCGGTCCACCCGCAGGGCCTCGGTCAGCCAGGACATGGGCACACGCGTGCCTGTGTGCTCGGGTCTCCGGATGTGAACCCAGAACCTTCCTATGTGGCTCAGCCTTGAGGGCTGTGTCTCAGGGCTGCCTCGCCAGCCTGCCCACCCTGCCCTGGACCTCCACCTTCCACGGCACCCCGCCCAGCACAGCAGACACCCTCCGCAGCTGGGTGGCCCCAGGCCTTGGCCTGGCCTGCCCTGCCCGCCTTTTCCAGATGGGCCTTCCTCACGCCCATCCTTCCTCACCACCCTGCCTCTCCCGCCCAGGGAGCACTTGGTGGTGCCTGCTACCATCACCTCTATAAAAAAAAGTGTTTGGGGGCTGGGGGTATTTCGGGAGAAAAATAAATCCAACTGTGCCTAAAGCTCAGAGCAGACAAGCTGCCATTGCTCTCCGGTGCTGCTCTAAACCCACTTCACTTGCTGGTGGCTTCTGGCTGGGAAAGTACAAGCGTGTCCGGGCGCCGGCACCGCGTGGGGGCCTCGTCAGCTCACACTTCTCTACAGCGGCCTCTGAGGCCACCTTAGCGCTGGCTCTTCCCACCCTCCTTAGCCTCCTGCAAAACCCATCTCGCTGTCCTATGGCATTTTCCCAGGACCCAGACACCCTCCACCCAGAACTCGGAGCAGTTAGGAAACACCCTGCAGGGGCCAGCAGGTGGCGTGGTGGTTAAGGTGGCTAGACTCCCACATGGCTGACCATGGTTTGAGGCCTGGACCTGGCAGCTTGTTTTCTCACTTTCCTTCTCTCTCATTGTCTCTCTCTTGTCAATCTCCAAAAAAAAAAAAAAAATTAAAAAACAAAATGATGACAATAAAATAATTCTAAAAAAAAAAAAAAAAAAAGAAGAAGAAAATACTCTGTGATTCCCTGATTAGCCACTCTCCTTGAAAGTATAGTTACATGCTCCGAGCCAAAGCTCATGGCAGCCCTGGGTATTTCAGGATGTGGAGGAGACTGCGATTTGTCTCATTCAGGGAGAAGCTTCTGCCCATCAGCCATCAGGTTAGGCCCACCCCAGCGGACAGGCCCATGGCAGCTCCTGCCTGGAAGAAGGCAGTGCTTCGCAGCAGGTGCCGGAGCCTGAGGGCTTCTGGGTAGAATGGCCATTCTTTCAGTACCACTTTGAAGACCCTAAAAACTGGGGTACTGAAGTTAGCCTGTGGCCAGCCTTGGAGGGGAGGCCTCCCCGCAGCCTCCTCCAGCAGCTCGGAGGATGCTCTGACAGCACTGCTCATGAGCGTCCGACTTCCCAGGGCCAAGGACTCCGACCCGTCCTTCCCTGTCACACAGCAGGCAGGACGGGACTAGTCTGCCTGCCCGTCTGGGACACGCGTCCAGTCTCCCTGAGCTACTCGAGGCCGGTCAAACCGATGGGGGAGCCTGTGTGAGTCTGGGGGCTCAGGGCTGCCTGGGACAGGTCCAGTGAATACCAGCAGGAAGGCCCACGGCCCTCCTCGCCAACACCCCTGGGGCCAGTCAGGGCCTGAGGGGGGAGGACGGCCATGCTCTCCCCTGTTCACACGAAGACGGCCACCCGAGAGGCCAGGTCGTCAGCGTGACCGTGCCGCCGGAGATCGGGGTGCTGGGTCTGCCTGCCCAGCACTAGTGTTCAGCGCTCTGCACCGGCCCGAGCGGACCGGCTTACAGCACGTTAGCGCTGAGGGGCCTGGGGGTCGCCCACTGCAACCCCATTCCAGCGAGGAAGCTGAGCAGAGCATCCGGATGGGGAGGCTGAGACCTCCTCCCAGGGCCCTGGGAAGAGGGGAAGCCAAGACTCAAACCACAACCGGAAACCCCTCTGGTGGCCGCTCTGAAGGGCCGTGCTCACCCAAGTCTTTCTATGCATGCCCTTGTGGCCCACCTGGCCCCCCCCAACCTGACCCCGACATGCTGGGCTGTCTGGGCAGAAACCCCAGCCTGTGAGTGGCTGACGTGGACCCCAAAACCGGTGCCTGCTAGGGCTGACCCATGGGGCTGCGAGTGGCTCAGCCCTGGCTGCCCTTCACAGCATTCATGGCCTTTTCCAGGCCCCCCTACTCGCCCCATCCTGCTCTGAGGCAGAGGCGGCTGGGCTGCTGGCAGCAAAAGCCCCCCGTGGGGGTTTGGTGCCCAGGGGCTCATCTTCAGCTCTTCCTGCAGAGGCCCTGGAGCCCCCTTCTGAAGAGCTCTTAGAGCTGCCTGAGTGATGCAGGGAGTGAACATCGGCAGCCACCTCCGCCTTCTGTAGACTGCAGCGAGGGGAGTGCCACGGATGGGGTGCATGAGCATGCGTGTGCGTGTACATGTGCGCATGCGTGTATGCAACAGACCTGCACTCGAGAGCTGCTCACGCCGCCTGGTCCTCTGCCAGTACAGGGCCACACGAGCTCAGGGGTGCCATCACGTTAAACTGAGGCCCACCGTGAAAGCGTTGACACGGGGCCCCAGCTGGCCCAGAGCCCCAGTGCCCAGCTGGTGGGCTCTGGCTGCCCTTCCGGCTGCCGCCCCTTCCCCACCTCCAGGCCTTGGTTCTGCCGAGCGCCAGGTGCCAGGTCTTCTGGGGCGTGCCCCCTACATCCGTTCCCAGCCCTCCCCAGCTGCTGGGAGAAGGGCCCCAGGCATCACCTTCCTTGTGGGTGAGCTTCTCCCCCAGCCTGGTGAGTTTGGACCGCAGCTCCGACGCCATGATGTACCCTTTCTTCTCCTTGTCGGCCATCAACATGGCCAGCAGGATCTCCTTCTTGGGGTCCTCTTGCTTTATCTGCGTGTGCATCACGGTCAGGAACGTGGAGAAATCCAGCTCCCCGCTGCTGTCTAGGAACCCAAGCACAGCGGGGTGAGCAGGGCGGAGGGGGCCTCCGGGCCGCCTGATGGGAGCGTCACCGCGGAGACAGCCATCCGGAAGGCTACGGCCCACCCTTCTGCAGAGCGCACCCTGGGCCACTGGGCTCGGCCCGCCTCAGCGACCGTGCTTGCGAAGGTCGCCCCGCTTTGCCTACGAAGGAGGCCGAAGCTGGGTGAGGAGTCTTGTCATGGAGTGGCCGCAGGCCCCGGGGTGGAGTGGCAGCTTCTCCGCTCCCTCCACCCTGCACTGGGGGAAGGCCAGCCGTGTCCCCACCCCCTGGTGGCCTCCACCTCCTCTCCCCCACACCTCCCCAGGCATGCCAGGACATCGGAACTTCCCCTGGCTATAACGGCTGTGTAGAGGAGCAGACGCCAAGGAAACTCCCCGTGGAGCCAGAGTCAGGGGCCCTCGGGTGTTGGACCCCATCACCATGTCACTGGGCTCCGGCCCGGCCTCCCCAGGAGCGGCTCCCAGCGCGGCTGTAACATGCTGTCGGACACCAGCCATCGGACACCCGTCGGCCGGCGCGGAGACTGCGGAGCAGCCCGGGCTGCAGTCAGGCCCCCCTCCAGACTACCCCCTTCCTCTGGGCCGGGCCCCCACCCGAGTGGCCAGCCCCAGTGCAGACAGCCACGGCCCCTGAGAACACAACTTCTTTTACCCCTTAAGCCCCAGAAACCCCACAAAACTCCTTTGCTTCTGATGGAAAAAGCCCTGTATGTTCCCACTGTTGAAAATACAGGAAATGATAAAAGGAAATAAAAACACCCATAATCCATCAGCCGAGGGGCCCAGCCACTCCCCGACACTTGGGGCGGGTTGTGGGGACGAAGGTTCCTTCCAGGCTTTTTTCTACAGTAGCGCACGGTTCTCAGGTCAGTCTCTGGAGTCAGCAGAACTGGGTTCTAAGCCTGCTTCCTCCATTGGCTCATGACTCAGGTCGCTCCTGCAGGGCCGACCCTCGCCCCTCACCCCTCACCCCTTACCGTAAGGGGACTAGGACGGGGCCAGGGCCTGGGGACGGGGCACACAGCCACGGCCAACTCAGCAGGGACCACACGGGGCCGCGTTCCCCTGGGGTGGCCATGACCTGTTCACATGCCTGTGTCCCCAGGCCCTGGAGGGGGGGGGGCGGTGTCACCGGCTGCTGTGAGGACTTATGAGGACGCCCAGGTGGCTAGGGGCTGCCACGCCTCCCCGTGAGCTCTCCCTGCCCCACTCTAGGGCACACAGCCACGGCCAACTCAGCAGGGACCACACGGGGCCGCGTTCCCCTGGGGTGGCCATGACCTGTTCACATGCCTGTGTCCCCAGGCCCTGGAGGGGGGGGGGCGGTGTCACCGGCTGCTGTGAGGACTTATGAGGACGCCCAGGTGGCTAGGGGCTGCCACGCCTCCCCGTGAGCTCTCCCTGCCCCACTCTAGAGTGGTGAGCTCTCCGCACCCCTGCCCACGCTGCCCTCGGCCCCACGCCCACCGAGCTGGCTCACCGATCCCGTGGGTCTGCAGGTGCCGCTGCACCTCCCCTGGCGTCGGGCTAGCCCCCAGGCACCTCATGGCCACCAGGAGGTCGCAGGCTTTCATCCGCCCCCTCTGCTGCTTGTCGTAGAGTGAGAAGCATTCTTTGTACTCTGTGGGCCCAGAGAAGTCAGCAGTCATCCCTCTCCCCACTGCCCTTCCTTCTGTCCCTGCAGCCCCCTCTCTTCCCCTTCCTTCTGCCCACACCCTCCTTCCTCCTCCCCTCCCGGGGTTGCCAGGTCCCCCGTTAGGAAGTACAGAACGGCAGGTGGCCCCGAGTTCAGGCAACGAGGAGTGCCCGTCCAGTCTAAGGATATCCCAGCTTTTGCATGGGGCACCCTTACACCAACGTGGTTATTGTCTGAATTCGAACCTACCTGGGTGTCCGGCATTTTACCTGGCGACCCTGACCCCTTCCAATTGGGGCCTTCCTTCTCCACCCTTGCTGTGCTCCTTCTGCCCCCCGGGAGAGCCCTGTGTACAGCTTCTCGGGGACATGGTGGGGTAGTCCCGTCTCTGAGTTTCTGTAAGGGTGAGCCCCCTCCAGAAGGCCTGGCCGGGAGCACCCCTCCTCTGCTGCTCTGTGTCGCGGTTGCTGCAGTGACTGGGACAGTCCTGAGCCCACTGCCCAGCCGGCTCCGGGCTGCTGTGCTCTCGCCGTCCTCTGGGGAGGTTCAGCCCTCGAAGACTGGGTGCTCCCAGGGTCTGAGGGACACTCGGTACTCTTGGCCTGAGTGGCTACCAGGACTAAGGCTCCTAGAAACCCACATCCTGCAGGAACGCCAGGGGTTGGGACAGGTGCCAGGGCCCCCCACTGAGATTCGGATGAGGGTGGGCATGAGGTGGTTGCCAGCAGGGCCCGCGACCCTTCTCCTTGCCGTTTGCCTCCACGAGAGGCTACCGAGGCGACAGTGGGGGCCCAGCTGTCCTGGC